TGGAATTAGAGATGGAATATAATTGGTCAGAAAGAGATACCGCCGCAAAAGATGTTTATCTCAGCCACGAAGTACGAAGACTCTCGCTACAAATTACATGGACAAGAAAGAGTCTAAATTAATCATTAATCAATAATCACCTGTGTTTTTTTTTCTTTTGAAAATCCAATAATCGTCTCAAAAAATTTTTTGGTTCTACTATGGATGCCACGCGACTTTTATGTTTTTGTTAAAAAAATTTGAATAGCAAGATATGATTAAATTAATTTTTGGTTGGCTTAAATTATGGATATAGAAGAATAATTTCCGAGAAACTAGGAAATGGACACGACCACGAGGGGTATCATGGGATTGATAGATCGACAATAAATGACACTACAATTTTTCGTCATTATTTGTTTGAAAATAGGAAAAATTCCTAAAAAAATATCTCAACTTAATTTAACTTGCTTAAAAAATACACGAATTATTTTGGCTATCCGAATAATACATGAAGTATTTACGGTTGTCTTTTTATATACTCTGATTTTCAAATTTTGTAGGATTTACACTCTCGATTCTAACGGCGTTAATCCGTTAATAGAAAATGATAAACAGTGTCAATTTTGTAACAAAAAAAATTCCTAAAAATACTCGAACTTAGTTAATTTGCTTAAACAATACACAAAATTTTTGGCTACCCGAATAATACACCAACTATTTAAATTTGTCTTTTATATACTCCAACTTTTTTGTTCTCAAAATCGAGAATACGATAATGTTAGTTTAACTTACAAAACTGAAATATTTAGAGGATGAATATGGTATCAAAAGGCACTAAATCAAAGTAGTAGATTACTTTTCCAGTACGAACTAGCCAAGTTTTTACTTAGATTCTATATTCATAACTTCGAGACCATCAACCTCTACACATGCTTCCTGTCTACACTTCAAAATGTACAATTATTATTGATAAGCCCATTCAAATAAGTCATCAAGACTAATGCAAAAATACCAGTCATACCTACAACATTAGAACTCCTTTGACAAAGGTTAGTCGCAATGGTTTTGAAAGAAACTGCAAAGCACCTCCAATTATAAAAATCCTATAAAAAACAAAGAACTCAATTCATAATATTACTTGCTCATACACAAACCATGCAATATTATCCAATTATTATTGTAGTAATTTACACATGAATTTAGAAAATTGGTGTATATAAAAGACAAATTAAATAGTTGGTGTATTATTCGTATAGCCAAAAATTTTGTGTATTGTTTAAGCAACTTAAACTAAGTTCGGGTATTTTT